AGAAAGGAGATAGAGGGATAGAAAAACAGGGAAAGAGCGAAAGAGAGATAAGAGAGACAGATGAGAGAATAAGAGCAAGAGAGGGGAAGAAAAAGGAACAGAGAGGACATAACTGGGTGGAAGAGAGAAAAAGAGGGAGAGAAAGACTAGAAAGAGAGGGAACAGAGATAGACAGGCAGATAAAGGGAGAGGGCAAATAGAGAGATGAGAGGAAAAGAGAGACATACAGAGGTAGAGAGAGAGGAGAGAAAATAAGAGAGAGAGAGAGAGAGAGAGAGAGAAGGGGTCAGAGGAACAGAGAAAGAGGGATAGAAAAAGAGAGAAAGGGATAGAAAAAGAGGCTGAGAGAAGAGAAAAAACAAAGCATAAGAAAGAGAGAGGAAAGATAGAGTGTGTGTGTGTGAGTGAGTGAGTGAGAGAGAGAGAGAGAGAGAGAGAAGAGAAGAAAGCAAGAGAAGAAAGGCTAGAAAGAGAGGGAGAGAGAGCAGAGAAAAAGAGACATACAGAGACAGACAGGCAGATAGAGGGAGAGGACAAACAGAGAGATGAGAGGAAAACAGGGACATACAGAGGGAGAGAGAGACAGAGAGAGAGCAGCGCTAGATGAAAAACAGAAAGGTATTAGCAATTAAAGCTGACATGCTTTAAACTCAGACCATCTCAGTTAAATACTGCCCCACAGTTCTCTGGAGTATCTCAGGTATTGCAGGCGAGCAGTTAGAACACCTGTCTCCACGTTTAGGCACACTTCAGTTGACCCTGTAAGAAGCTGTTTAGAAAGGGAGCTCAGAGCCAAAATTCAAATGAAAAGCTGAGCTGTGGGGAGTGGTGGTGGGGAGGGGCTATCTGGTGTAAGTTCTGAGAGAGGCGCGGGGGATGGAGGGCGTTTTGAAAAGCACAGCAGTGAGCCTTTTAAATACAGTTACCTCCTGAGGACCAGCAGCTGAATCAGAAACATGAGGTGGACATTTGAGAAGCTACTCCTTATTTAAGAGCTCCCCTATGGGCTTTGCAGAATATGTGCTTTGCCTGCAGAAGCTCAGAACTGTAATGTGATTTCATGCATACAGAAACAGGTCTGAGTTATAGGTCCGCGGTTATACAGCACAAAGTACATGTATTTTTTTTAAGATAAACAAACTATAAGCTATAGTTGTGTATGCTGAATAATATAATACAATAATGTTTTGCTTTAAATATACTGGATTCACAGATATTATATATTCAAACAGCCAATCATTCAATCAGTTATTTGGTCAAGTATGTTGTTTACACACAAAGAATATGACTTTACTTTTTTTAGTAAATTTTATGCATATATTAAAATTATGTACAGGTTTGAACCATGTAAATTCAATGCATCTCTTTCAGGGTATGATGGTGGCATTTCAAGGCCTATAAATAGTCTACTTCCTTTTAATTCACAAAGTGCATGCCAGGTTTAATGTAGGAACTGAAAGGGTTGTGTTGTTTTGGATAGCAGTTTTTGCTTTGTCAGTTAAGGGACAGAATGGCAGGAGTGACAAACTGTCTCTAAAAGCAAAGAGAGGGAAACTCCCAGCTCAGTGGGGTTCCAGCACCCTTCCCGCACTGTGGGGTTTCCCTCCAAAACACTTCAGCCTTCAGGCACACAGCTACGTGGAGCAAGATCTACAATCTCCCTCCTTTGTCTGAAGAGTGGCTATAATGAAAAAGAGTGGGGTTCAGTTAGCATGATTAATCTACATGATGCTAACTTGAATCTATTATGTGTCAATCATCATTAGCAACATTAGCATTTTCCTTTGCCATTTACAGCATCCAAAGTTCAAGCAGGTCACTGACCTTGAGCACTTCTATCATCTGAAAACATTTACTTCGGGGACCTTTTCTTGCTAATTTCAGCTGCAAATGAAAACATAGTTCAGCATATCCTGCTTCTTTATCCATAGTCTAATGTCAAAAGAACTCTTTCCTCTAACCCTCAAACTTGGCTATAAAGGAATGAAAATGAGAGGGGACCAGGTAGCATGATTAATTCACATAATGCTAACTGGGATCCACTATATGTCATCTATACTTTATCATTTAATTAGATCACCCAAAGCCGACAGGTCCCTCGCTGTTATCACTTTTATCATGTTTTTCCTCTGAACAACCTTTCTTCCTAGGAAGAGCACTTTCCTCACTAAGGTCAATTGGAAATGAAAACGTAGTTTAGCATAACTGACTTCTTTATCTAAAATCTATCATCAAAATAACTCTTTGGCCAAAACCTCTAACATGGTTATGAATTAATGACAATGGGAACCAGTTAGCATGGTTATTCTTTAAACAAAAAAATCCCTGTGAAAACCTTTTCCTCCTAGTATGGGTCCTTTCCTCACTAAAGTCAACTGGAAGGAAAAACATAGTTTAGCATATCCTGCGCTAGTAATGCCAAAAAACTCTTTGCCCAAAACCTTTAACGTAGTTATGAATGAATGAAAATGACTAGGGACTAGTTAGCAAGATGCATCCTCTGTGCCTTATTCCTTTACTGTTTTATTACGACTTCCAAAGCTTATGGGTCCCTCATGTCATTACTTGTATCATGTTTTTTCCCTAGTAAGGGCCCTTTCCTTGCTAATGTCAACTGGAAATGAAAATATAGCTTAGCATAACCTGCTTGCCATGATAAAAAAATTAGCATCTAAAGTCTAACAATAACTGTTTGCTCAAAACCGCTAACATGGCTATGAAGTAATGACAGCGAGTGAGGATCAGTTAGCATTACTACCTATGTAATCTATGTACCTATGCATCATTATTAGCAACATTTAACAAAAATGTTTTTTTTTGTACTATTTTACCACAGCATCCAAAGCTGGCACGTTCCTCATTGTTATCACTTTTATCATGTTTTCCCATAAAAAAACTTTTCCTCACCATTTTCCTTGACAAAGTGTACTGGAAATGAAAATAGTTTAGCATAACCTGCTTCTTTATCAAAAATCTAATGAATGAAAACGAGTGAGGATGATGTCGCATGATTAAGACCTAATGCTAACTGTGTGTCACTTGTTATTAGCAATATTAGCGCTTTTTAAACCAAATGTTTCTAGTACTATTGTATTAGAGGGTTCATAGCTGGTGGGTCCCTCACATTAAAAGTGTAACTATATACTCTTCTCACGATTTGATTCTCACAATATTCTCATTTTGAACAAAAGTTGAATGAAGAAAAACGATGACTGTGTCCACGCTGCTGCACAGCTTACTAATGAACATGCTGGTGTGGGTTGTTGATCGTTGCTGGCTGTTGACTCTTTGGTGCCCAAACAATCCAGTTGCCATATTAACAGAATGTTCATTCTCTGTTACGCTCATTTTTTCATCACAATGTCACGATACATTGTTACACCCCTTCTCATCATCATCACTTTTATCACGTTTTTCCTCTGAAAACCCTGTTCCTCCAAGTAAGGGCCCTTTCCTCCATAATGTCAACTGGAAACATTCATTATATGAAAATACTTCAGCACACACAAACAATCTAATGTACACAAACACAAAACACCCTGCTGCGTCTACAGTGTTTACATATACACAGGGAAGTCAACAGTGCTCATGGCCGACCATCAGGATCAGGTGCCCCGTGTGTAAACATGAGAGTTTATCAGGATGCTAAATAAGCTAATACCTAACACTTATGGTGCAGTGATTACTCTGGGAAAGTCCAAGTCAAGCGACAGGATGATGTTTGTGTGTGTGTTCTGGCCGCTAGAATCTGACGCCCCCCTCCTCCCTTGGGCCAGTTCCTGGGCAGTTCACACCTCCAGTAGGGATGATTATCCTGCTGGAGGGGTCTTCACAGCAGGCTAACACACCGCCCTGTGAAATTTCTACCCTCCAGTCGTTTTAATGGCTTCTCGGAGAGGGGTTCATAAGCAGACCGCTCCAAATGGTCAGGAGAAGTGAGGTGAAGGTGCTTGGAAACTAGTATTCGAAAAGGAAAAAAAAACTCAGGGTCTCCGAACTCTGACCTTCAAGGCTATTCTTGTCCAGACATGACCGAGGCCTAGCACGAGAGGTAGGAGTGTGAGTGCTTAATCACTGGTGATAAGACACTGACCAGAGAACACAAAGGTTTTGCTGGAAGTATAAACACAATACAGTGCAAGTACTAAAGCCAGTGTGGTTTCTCTTTTCTTTTTACAGTGTAGGCAAACCTGTATGACTGCTCTGTCTTAGTTAGAAGCAATCAGTAGATAATACTACCAACAGATATAAAGATCCTTTTATACTGTGCTACCAAACAGGGCTGGACCTAAAGGTGCTTGTAGCTACACAAGAGTTTAACAGCTTGTAGAGAAGAACAGTCATATTGATGCAGTCATTACTGTGAGTCAGTAATGGGTTGATGACTAAGTGTCCATGTGTCCACCCAGCAGACTCCACAACAGCTGTTCTTCAGATATCATGTGAAATTGATATCACAGGTAAACTTTGCCTTATGTCATTTTGCCTTCGAAGGCACATGGACCGTTAAAAAGAAACCAAACAGGTTGTAAATATTCATACACTGCCAGTCAAAAGCTTTGATACACCTTATTCAATGACATTTCAAACTAAAACTCTACAGTACTTTGGAAAAGTCAACAGATTTTTCTGAGGATATCAGAAATAAGACAACCTAGCAAAGCACAGTAAAAGGGGAAAGTTAAAAACAATTGTTTCCTTAAATCCACAGGTGTTTCTGTCCATCCTTCCACTGTGAGAAGGCAACTCAACACTAAGGGTCTGAAAAGATGTGCAGCTGTCAAGAAGCCCTCACTTAGAAAAGGAAATAGACCAAAAAAGGAAAAAACTTCAAAATCAAACAGAGAAGTGAAAAGCAGAAAAAGCAAAGTGAAGTGTGGAAAATAGTAAAAAAAGGAAACCCCCTTCTTTGATGTGCATAAACTTTTGACTGTTAGTGTACGTGACATAGTGGCTGGAACACAAACTTTCCCTCAGCCTTATGAAAAACAAACCATGTAAAAAAAAAAACAAACACTTTAGTGGTTCATGATGCTACATTAACCAACACAAACCCGGTACAGATTCTGTAGAGTGCAGTACTAAACAGGCCTCAATCAAATCTGCTATGTCCAGTATAGTTTGATTAGATAAACAGTATGTATGCAAACTCTAAAACTCCCCTGGACTGGAAATACTTTCTTACAAAAGAGCTTGCACAATTAATTACTGCTGACCCACCAAGGAGCAGGGGATGTGGATTAGCATAATCCAGCAACAATGGTGACTATGCCGGAGACTGGAAAGAAGGCTGGACTGACTAGTCAGTTTCTATACATTGTGTAAGTGTAAATTACAGTAATGAATCCCACTGACACTTGTAACTGATTGCCTGAACCCTGTTACTTCCATTTGAAGTCACACAAAACCCATTTGCACTGACTATTTAAAACAATGTTAAATGACCCCTTCAAATAGTTACTGATGTATTAAGTACCAATTCACAGTCTGTACTATACAGTAAAACACAGATTTTAAAAGTATTGTTATCATCATCCAGTAATGACAACTGATGAACCTAGTTAGTTAACAGAAAAGTGGCACATGGTGTCCCTCTAGTGGGTAGCAGATGGTAACACAGGAAGTGTATTGACAGCAATACAAAACTAATTTTATTTACAGATTTGTTTGAAAAATGCATGTAAAATGTATAACAGTGATTTTAATAAATCAGTGGATACTAGTAAAATCTTACTACACATGATTTTTTTCCTACAAAAACAACCAACCATACAAAAAAAAAAAAAATTATCCAGTTTGTAATTATCTAATGAGCCACTACTAATAAATCAGGTACTTTGTCAATTTATCTGAAATTTGTTAAATAATAATTCTTCTTCTTATTATTATTATTGTTGTTATTATTGGTCACTTTTCGTCAGATGTCAGAATGGGCCAAATTATCAAATTTAGAAGACCTCACAGGGGAAAGTATTCCAGATTGCACGGTGGGGATATTACACAAGGACACGGTGATGCAGGATGGATAGCCAAGCTTGGCACTGTTCTCAGGAAGTTTCCAGACTGCAGTGAAGCAGTTTCACTATAGACAACTGAGGAGAAAATACTGGAAAGAGAAAAAGAAAGGACTATGAACACATATTTGACAAACAACGTAACTGAAAAGCTATTCTGAGCATGCAGAAAGGCTAGATGTGCGAGCATTACGTCTTTACCTTTATGTCACCGGCTCTGTGCAATTATCTCCTGACAGCTTTTGTACACTTGAACCAGACAATTGAGTCTCGGCTTTGAACTCTGGAGGAAGAATGCAAAATGATGAGTCTCTGCATGTGACTAACTCCAGAGAAAGAGCTCACCACTTCATATGTTTAGTATCTACTAACTGTCAGTTGTCATGCAGTTACACTTGAAGTCACAAGTCTAAATGGTCAAAATCATAAAAGGGCCAATGGCAAACCAAATTTTGGAAGCTTTTTGGAATTAAATAGATCATTCCCCAGTCCATCTATAGAAACAAGTTGCAAAAACCTCTTTTGAATTGACGGGTGTCAATTTTTGCGATGTCACAAAAATGTACGCACTAAAGTATATCCACCTATTTAGCCTACAGCAGTTTTGCTCTGCCCATTCAGGCTGAAGTTAGAAGGAGCATTTCAGGCTGAACTGCTATTTGAATTTGGCACAATACAGGGCAGCCAAACAGAACAAAGCTTGTTTGCATATAATCAGTCTTAAAGGCACAGTAACACAGCTTGTTTAATTCTAAGAGATAACAAGAGGCTGAAAATTATCATGTAAAAATGAATTATGACAGTTTATAATACATAAAGCCCGCACAAGCATAACCGGACCCCAGGAGAAAAATGAATACTTGAAAAATGCACAATACGGCCCCTTTAACAATACTGTATGTCCAAAAGTTTGTTGACACCTGCTTCCAACATTTTGGGGAAGCAAGGGTATTTATAGGGAGCTTTATTTTCTATGGAGATTATAAAAACTGTGTATACACAACTGAACAATTGTGTCAACAATGGGTGCACACAAATATATATAAAAATATATAAATACAAATATACACCTGGAAAAGAGGGACGACACTGGCGACTCCATCCGGCTCTGATGAGTCTTTTATCAGAATGCAGAGGTAGTATATGATACTATGCTGAAAAAGAAACACCGGCAGGTCTGTATGAGCAAAATTTACAGTCAACACACAAGGCAGCAGCATTGCATGTACATTATAGGATTGATCCTTATAAACAATAAGGAGTCTTCTTACCATGTAAATTGCTTCATTAATAACAATGTCTTTAATCTTGTTCATTTCAATGAATGTTGTGCTCTCCCGTCCTGATGCATATAAAGAGGACAGCTGGACACCCAGAGAGCCGATTATAAGAAGGGTTTCTTGATCTACTTTCACAAAGTGGATGTGCAGCATCATCCCAGCCAACGTCACGATGATGGCACTAGACAGGACAGTGGTGTTCTACAACAGACATTACACAACAGTTAGTCTTCGTAATCAGATTGCACGAGGCATGCACTATATGTCCAAAAGTTTGTAGATACCTTTTCATGCACTATTTCTTCTGAAAGGCATTAATAGGGAGCTTGTCCCCCTTTGCTGCAGAAACAACTTCTACTCTTCTGGGAGGGCATTATACTAAGAGGTGGGACCATTCTGTGATTCATCACACAAGCGCTTTAGTGAAATCAGGTACTGATGTTAAAATGGCGTTTGTGATCCAGAGCTAATCATTCAACTCATCCCAAAGGTACTGGATATAGTGCCATCACTCCAATGAAAAAAGTTCCACTGCTCCACGGACCAATACTGGGGGCTTTTATGTCCCTCTAGCTGATACTTGGCACTGGGCTCGGTGACCTTAGGCTCATGTGGGCCAGTTAAGACAGAGTTACACTTACACCAATCAGGCATAACATTATGACCTCCTTGTTTCTACGCTCATTGTCCATTTTATGAGCTCCACTTACTATATAGGTGCACTTTGTAGTTCTACAGTTACAGACTGTAGTCCATCTGTTTCTCTGCATACTTTGTTAGCCCCCTTTTACCCTGTTCTTCAGTGGTCAGGACCCTCATGAAATCAATCAAAGAGCAGGTACTATTTGGGTGGTGGATCATTCTCAGCAGTGCAGTAACACTGACATGGTGGTGGTGTGTTAGTGTGTGTTGTGCTGGTACGAGTGGATCAGACACAGCAGTGCTGCTGGAGTTTTTAAACACCTCAGGGTCGCTGCTGGACTGAGAATAGTCCACCAACCAAAATATCCAGCCAACAGCGTCCTGTGGGCAGCGTCCTGTGACCACTGATGAAGGACTGGAGGGTGACCAACACAAACTGTGCAGCAGCAGATGAGCTATTGTCTCTGACTTTACATCTACAAGGTGGACTAACAAGATAGGAGTGTCTAATAGAGTGGACAGTGAGTGGACATAGTGTTTAAAAAATCCAGCAGCACTGCTGTGTCTGATCCACTCGTACCAGCACAACACCCACAAACACACCACCACATCAGTGTTACTGCAGTGCTGAGAATGATCCACCACCTAAATAGTACCTGCTCTGCGAGGGTCCATGGGGGTCCTGACCACTGAAGAACAGGGTAAAAGGGGGCTAAAAAAGTATGCAGAGAAACAGATGGACTACAGTCTGTAATTGTAGAACTACAAAGCACACCTATATAGTAAGTGGAGCTCATAAAATGGACAATGAGCCTAGAAACAAGGGGGTCAATGTTATGCCTGATCGGTGTATATACACATACATGTACGCAAGACAACCGCTCCCATATTGTGTGACCATGTCCACAGAAGAGAACACTGCTCATTCACAGGGTGCAATAGCAACATAAACAGTAGGAGCAGAATACCAAGATGTGATATCAGCAGCATACTAAGCAAACCATGACACCAACCACAGCAATGGTAGATGGTTTTTGAAGAGAAGCAAACAGAGCTTGTCTGCAAATACCACCTCTTGTATGACAATAAGACATGTTTAAGATGTACAACAGGGTTGGGCGGTATGACGATAATACTGTATCCCACGGTATGTAAAAATGATGACCATATTGAAAGATTCTGATGGTTTTTCAAAATGATAATGTGCCAAATTTCTATTCTAAGTCTGATAGGACAAACAAACACATTTCTCCTATTTATTTTTCAGGGGTCTCACTGATTGGTGGTGTGGGAGCTCACCCACATGGCGCTAAAAGGAAAAAGAGGAGAAAAACTAAGCATTAGTGATGGGAATAACAGATCTTTGAAGGGAATGGGCTCTTATGGCTCTTTTTTCTTTTTAGGGGGTGGGGCTTAGCTTTCTTTGCAAAACAATCACTAGGATAATAACAGGACAAGATTTGGATCAGATTTAAACTAAGACAACCCCACCAATATAATTTTATTTCATATGCATGGAATAGGTTTAGGTTTAGCAGCACTAAATTACTCATATTGCCAGACCTCAGTGATCTGCAATGTAAACATTACAAGGTGACGTCATATCCCTCTGCTTGGTCAGTGAATTTACTACTTTGAATTTACTCTCTATATGAAATGCGTTATATAAATAAAATTGCCATGCTTTGAATGCAATGCATGTAGAGCTTAATATTAGGAAACCTTTTACTGACACAACAAAAAACAAACAACACAAGATTTCCAAAAATAAACAGTAAAATAACTTACCAAAATAATAATACTTGTGCAAAAGGCCTACACTACAGCCAACATCTAAACAATATTTCAAGTATTCTAAAAAAACAAAGAAAAATAAAACAAAATAGAATAAAATGCACAGATACTACTTAGCTTAACCCCTGCAGTGGACTAGTGGACTGTCCTGGGGTGTGTATACCTGAGCTGCTTTGACAAAAACATCCCTGAAACGTGAGGCAGAGAAAAACAATCTATTTTTACTCCTTCTCTTTATTCACTCTCTAGCTCTCTCAACCACCACTGCTCTCTCTCTCTGAAGCTCGCTGAACCGGAAGGGCCAACTTTGAATGGTGTGTTTAAATAGCAACCGACAAATCCTGCTCCTGCTGTCTTTAAGTAGTGATGCACGACTCTGGGTTATCTGCCATGCCCTCTGGTGGATATGACTTTTAGTCGTCTAGAAAGTGCCGTGGTGTGGTTTTATCAAGAAGGCAGTGCAGTTATTCCCCACTAACACAGTTGGTTAGTCTCATAACAGTCCTATTCACACAGCTAATAGCATTCAACAAATACTACAAAATAAGTCAAACATCCAAAAATATGACAACAAAAGTCTAGCAAAATGGCATGCCAATCTATATAGACCTTTAACCGCAGAGCTGGAAGATCAGAACAACCAGAAAAACTAAAATACATACAGCCGTAATAATCTTAATAATTCAAAACAGTAATCAGTAAAATACTATAGCATACAATTATCATACCCCATTTAGAGTATTATAATCAATACTGGTTTTTGTCATGTTGTAAGACGAGTTTTGAATTGTTTTAACATTTAATTTTTCAGCATGAGTTCTCTTTAACTGATTGAAAACTAGCCCCTCAACTGTATTGGCAGGATATGTTATGTTATGTTATGTTAGCCATGTTTACTAAACCTAGAGCCTGAAGCTTCGATGGTACACGTCTCCAGTCATTTCAAGGAAACGTGTTAATTTTGCCTAGCAACAGCCAATCAATAGGTTAAGGGTGTTTTCTCCACCATCATGAGCCAGTACTTTGTTGCGCTGCTGACTGTCTCACGGCTGTGCACCAAATCTGATGGAGAGTTTGAAATCCATATGGGCGACGCAGCACATATAAATATCACGCCAACGACTCCTTGCTGTTCTAAATATGATAAATAAACTGTAATTAATTCAACAGTTTTACAGACACATATCAAAAACAAAATTTAAGTATTTAGCAGAAAAATAGTCATATATTTCAATATTGTTAGTTCTTCTTTTTTTGTTCGTGGTGGATGGTAAGGCTGTTCCCCAGCGTCCATAACAGGCTTCTAGATACGCAAAAGGCACGCAAACGAGTGTTTCTGCTCGTGCAGCAGCTGTGTGCATACACTTGTAGTTAAAAATAAAGTATAACCGTGCCTTGACAACCCATATACAAAGCCACTTAGAGCCCATGCACACCTGAAACCCAACTAGCCCACTTTCATACGTATAAACACACACACACACACACACACACACACACACACACACACACTCCCATATATATGTGCATGTGTACGCGTGTGTCTTAAAGGGAACTTGGGAATTATAAAATGGGAATTATAATGATATATTCAGATATAGATAAATTCAGTTTACTACTTATAATCACATGTATATTTTCATATGGGGATCTATTCTTAAAAAGCTCAAAAAGATACCCACCCCAGACCACGGTGCGATTCCTAAGTCTATTCAGTAGCTGTACACAGCGCACAGGATTACACATACACTAGCTAAATACAACAACAGTGTAAGGAGCGCCGTGTGCAAAACGATATACATCCACAGTTCAAATAACGTTAGCAAACCGTTGCAACTAAATCAAGACACAGACTGATTTAATTCGCGATAAAATACTCTCTTTAGTTTAATTAACATTTACCTACAATTATCAAAGGACCGAGACTGAAAACCTACTTACCTCTGTAACAAAAAACACGGCATAGGCGACTAACCACACGGAGCAGGTGTACACCATCACCTTGCGTAAAGACACCTTCGGAGAGCTGACAGTAAACTCTCTGCAGAAGGGAGTGTGATTTTGGCAGTCCAGTGAAATTGGCTGTCCGTTTATGTTTGTGAACTCTCCCTCTTCAGCCATGTTAAAGATAGCTAGCAGCGCCGGCTAACGTTACCTCAGCCGTCACAAATAAACGTTAAAAATGTCAGGAAACCTGACATCAACAGCAAGGTGTTCTTAAATGTCCGCTGTTTTATTACCGAACAACTCCCGCACAAAACAACTTCACAAATCAAAATCCACTTGATGATATTAAGGAATATTTTCTAAGTCTTGTTGAAATTCAGTTCACATCAATGAAAGAGAACTCGCCGACCTTAGAAAACGAAGTGCATTGTGGGAAATACAGTTTCACAACATTGTGCGTCCAACTTTGTTAAACCTCGCTGAAATGTGAGGTCTGTGTTGATACGTATGCATTTCTGGAGTACAATTAGTTTAAAATATTGGTCAGATCTAAACATCTGTCCCATCCCAGTATTGTTTTAAGCGTTATCTGCTGATACTGACATGATGCTGAGATAACTGTACATTCCTAAATAAAAACAGCACTGTGGTCTAACCGCTCGAAACTCATCACAAATTGAAAAAAGCTTTGTCTCCAGTGTTTAAAATAGTGTCTATGTTTCTCAAAGCACAGTGAAAGTCACTTTTGTAGCATTATTACATTTCAAAATTTTTGTGTAATTCTGTCACTGAGATGTAAACAAAGCCGTTCCTAGTGGTTTGACAAGAACTCATTCACTGTAGAGAAACTTGCCAACTTAGGCTGTCTGTGCAGCTGTCTTTGTGCATATGACAATAAACTCTTGAATCTTGAAACTCTTGAAAACGTTCCTAAAACAGTGTTTCAGACATCAGGCAGCATGTTCGTAACCTTTTAGCGAGGGAGGTTTCAGAGGCATAACACTTTTCAGACGTTTGGTTCCTGTCACCACCACTGTGAACAATTCTGACTAAAAAGCTTCTCTAGAACGGAGCATTTCACACCAAACCACTCTGAATGACTTTACATCTGAAGCACTTAATTATGCAGAGTTTGAAAAATTACCCTTTAATAGCATTCCTCCCCTTTTCCTCTTCTGCTTTTTTCATTTGTTTATTTTATTTATTTTTTTACTAACTGTAGTAATTGCTGCTCTCTCTCTTAAGGATGCCGTACGAAATGTATTTGTAAAGCCTGTTTCACCTTACCTTAAAAAAAAAAAAAACACTTCATAGCATGTTTCCAGTCACGCACTACATCTCCCTACAAACCTTGCGCGAAAATTTCCCCTCCGACCTTCATGCTGAAAACAAAGTCGATCAGCTGATGTGACTTGGCAACAACACTCCGAAATCAACCGGGCAGTGGAATTATTTTAACCTGCTGCCTTAAAAACAACCCAACCCTGAGCTGTCCAGTAACTGGCATCTTTGTCTGAATTTGTCCAGAAGTAGTCAGTTTCCTGTCCTCCTGCCGCTTGTTTGGTGGAAAACATTAACGCTGTCTGGCTCGAAAAAGAAGATTTGTTTTGCTGTTTTGCTAAGTCAGGAAGGCTGCTGACCGCAGACTCCGCCGATGTTTTTTGGGGTAAACGTACAGCAGAGGTTATTTTAAATGCAGTTGACATAAACCCGTTGTATATATGTGTACATATATAAAACCAAATCTAATATTTGTTGTCATTGTATGTTAGCTAGAGGGCAGTATCCCTTTTTTCGCAGCGTCAACGAACGAAATGCTAATGCTGCTAGCTTGCTGAACAAAACAAAAGCTCAACACGTCCGGTGCTGCGAGCTGACGGTGGCCAGCGGTTTGATTTGGGAGTATGTACGGTCTGATAACGCATTTATATCTATGATATTGTTTATTTAAGCGATTAGTGACCAAGAACGGTCGTTTGAGAAGCTTTTTTCTGTTGGGACAGAATGCTAGCTAGGTAGCTAAGTGTACACTACCAAGGCCAGTGTGGGTGCGAGCTGATCTATTTCTAGATCCTGATAAGTAGATTTTTAAAAATATATAAATCACTTGATGAGCATTCACTTAATCTGACATCTGACATGACAGTTGGAGATGTGCGTTACATTGTAATTTATTGTAAGCTAGCTAAGTGAATTGTATCTACTTTGATCGACCAGTGTCATAAGTTCACAAGTTAGTATCGGTGGTAGCTGCAAGTTGTCTGAACTGGGTTTTAAAACAGAAACTTCAACTTTTTAGCCAGTGCAATAATTTAGTTAGTTAGTGCTAACTAGCCTTTACAGCAGTGTCCTGAGTGGCAGGTGTATGGTGGTGTTATTTTTCGGTGTGCTGACTGGTTTTACTGGTTGTGAAGCAGACAAAACCTTTGGATGGAATAATATAAGCCTCGTTTCTTGCCCAAGCAATACAGTCGCTCAATGATTCGAATGAACAGTTATCAGGTGCGTTTGGAGGTCTAAGCCAGTTGCTTGAAAGTCAGTAAGCTACCTCGGTTGTGATGAGCGGACAGGGTGTGACCGGCGCTTTGGTCTGCCAGGAGAGCTACGCGTGCGGCGGCTCGGACGAAGCCGCCTACGAGTGCGACGAGTGCGGCAGCCTGCAGTGCGCACGCTGCGAGCTGGAGCTGCACCGGCAGGAGCGCATGCGGAACCACGACAGGGTGCGAATCTCTCCGGGCCATGTGCCCTTCTGCGACTCGTGCAAAGGGGACGGCGGGTGTCCGGCCAATGGTTCTCGCCTCAGGGCCGTGGTCAGGTGTCAAGGCTGCAAAATAAACCTTTGCCTGGACTGCCAGAAGCGCACGCACAGCGGTGTGAACAAAAGAAAGCACCCTCTTTCTCCTTACCCACCCTGCAAACCTCCGGAGGCGAACATGAACTGTGCGGACGTGGTGTTAGAGGGTGTGAAGGCTCAGCTGGACAAGGTCTGCAGCTTTCTCTTGGTGGATGAGAAGGAGGAGATGCAGGTATGGGAAAGAGTTGCATTGATACGGGTTCTCAAAGTGCACTGTTGTGCACTGCTTTGTGCTTCCCTCATGGGTTGGGTCAGGTGTGTTACACTAGGGGATCACAAAAAGGTACAGAGGAGGGGTCTGTAGGTCTAACCTTGGGATGATCCTTTTGGTGTCTATAGCTCAGTCAGTGTTTACCAGTCCTGATCCTAGAGTATTTCATGCGATGCATGTTTTGGTACTTTACTTGAATCAGCAGATTTTCCCCATATCACAAATGTGTTCTATCGACCAAGACATGTTGGATGTCCAAAGTTTACTTCTTTCGACTAGCAGTGGTGCTACGATGCTGATATAGTTGGGGGTGGTTGATATGGCAAAAATATCATATCATGATACTTGAAATCATTTTTATGATTTTAAGTATCTGATACTGTTCATTTTTATGATTTTAAGTATCTGATTCTGTTGTTCAAGTGGACAAAATCGTTAGTTTGACATGATCAGTAACAAAGTGGTAAAAGTATATTTAGCTATACATAAATAGCCAGTTGTTATCCTGAATTTTTATTTTGTTTTGAAGCTTCATTTTTGATGACACTGGCTGATATATCAGTCAATACTGGTATGCCAGTATTGGTGTCACAAAGTAGTATTGATTTTTAGTTTTAGCAATTTATCAAAAGATAAGTATGATATTGATGATAGCATCTGTTCAATAAAATAGCAATATTCTGCTGTACTGTATAAATACACTGTATAAGGTATATTTTTACAATATGCAATGTGTATCACAATATTTTTAAAACAAACAAAATGCACTAGTAGTGCCACATTTGAAACAGCCATCAAAAACTCAAAACAGCTATGGTTCAGCATTTCACATACTGTACTGCAGTGTATGCATTTAAGCAGGACTAATTATTCTCTCTTTATAATGAAACAGGCAGTCGGTCCGTGCTCTTTAAGTAGTGACTATATCCACAATATGCTCACAAAAGCATAGTGTTAATCACGATAACAGAATTGATAAAAATAACAATTTAACATCAGCATATTGCTGATCTCAAAATATAATAAATCTATTTGACTGCAAAAGCTTTTGGGTGACTTAGACTTTCAATACTGTTTAGCTACATTAGCACTGTAGCTTTAAAGCAAAACTTAAGAAGCAAACTTCTGATACCAAACATGTCTTGGCTGATAGACCATATCTAGAGCATGGGGGGAAAATGGGATTAGTCTCTCATAGAGCTCTCTAAAATATGAAATGCAGGGATCCTTCTGCACCAGTATTGGGAAACAGTGCTGAAGCTGTTAAGAAAACATGTTTTAACTCTGAGAGCTGTCCAAGTAGATGTTGTCCCAGTTTCTATTATTTACATTAATATTTACACAACAGAATTGTCAAATTATATGCTAAAAATATTGATTACTGACATTGGCCCACAATTCCCATATTGGTGCCACAGTACCAAACTTTCACAATAAGATTTGTATAATGGTTCAATGCAGAGGTAAAAAAAGAAATGCCAGAAGATGCATTTTGCATTTACTGCTATTCATTTTTTAATGAACACTTCAATCATGAACAGGTGAAGGCCGCGGAGGAATTTGAAAGCAAACTAGGCTGTGCACCAGATGAGCTGCTGAAAGTGGTGTCCATCTTTGGTAATACCGGGGAAGGAAAATCGCACACGCTCAACCACACCTTCTTCAAGGGCCGTGAGGTGTTCAAGACGTCACCCACCCAGGAGTCATGCACTGTTGGAGTGTGGGCGGCGCTGGACCCGGTCCATAAAGTGGTGGTGGTGGACACAGAGGGGCTCCTGGGAGCAGGAACAAACCAGGGCCAGCGGACCCGTCTCCTGCTGAAGGTGCTGGCTGTGTCTGACCTGGTCATTTACCGCACACACGCCGATCGTCTTCACGACGATTTGTTCAAGTTCCTGGGCGACGCCTCGGATGCTTATTTAAAGCATTTCACAAAAGAGCTGAAAGCCACCACTGCCCGCTGTGGTCTGGACGTACCTCTTTCCACTCTGGGCCCAGCTGTTATTATCTTTCATGAGACCGTCCACACCAAGTTACTAGGCTCAGGTCAGTGAGCTGGAGCTCTGCTGCTACTGTTCTTCAAATGGACAAAATCGTTAGTTTGACATGATCAGTAACAAAGTGGTAAAAGTATATTTAGCTATATATAAATAGCTTGTTGTTATACTGAATTGTTATTTTGTTTTGAAGCTTCATTTTTGATGACACTGGCTGATATATCGGTCAATATTGGTATACCAGTATTGGTGTCACAAGGTAGTATTGACCTTTAGTTTTAGCAGTTTATCAAAAGATAAGTATTATATTGATGATAGCATCTGTTCCATAAAATAGCAATATTCATGTTTCTGTACTGCATAAATACACTGTATAAGGTTCCCTCTGGTGGATTTTTAAGACAGGAAAACAGGACAAAACAGTCCAATCAAAATAATGACAGGTTTGTTGAATATTCCTTTAACATAGATCATTAACTTATGTTATGTATTAATTAATACAACCTTAAATATCATCTAATACTGTATTATATTTAGAAAATATTGTGACACGGAATTTTATCAGGACTGCCCACCACTAATTCTTGCTTTTCAATGCTTTTCAGATAAGCCATCTGAGTCTGCAGAGCGTCTTCTCCAGGAGCGCTTTAGAAAGCTTGGGCTCTTCCCTGAGGCCTTCAGCTCTATTCAGTATCGAGGTACACGCACCTATAACCCTCCCACTGACTTCAGTGGCCTGCTGCGCAGCGTGGAGTCGCAGCTGGACAACACCACCACACGGTCTCCACGATCTGCTAGTGTCATCTACAAGGCTCTACAAGTGAGCATACTTCTTCACTTGCCTATGTCTAAAATAATATTAAAGATTTTCTTTATTTCCTGAAATCCACGTGAAACGTATGTACCAACAACAGTTAAATTGTTAATTTTACATGATTATTTTCCATTTTCTCTTTATCTCTAGAATACTGTACTTGTAAGATGTATATGTAAGATGTATACATTTATTTAAATGATCTCTGTTCTGCCCTGTTTTCAGCTTCATTTAAAAAAACTGTAATGCCAAAGTCTGCTGTAGCAACACTCCTTATCCATCAGTGTGAATGGGCAGGTTAAACTGCTACAGGCTGAATAAGCGGTCACATATAAGTATGTTCATGATTGTGATATCACAATCATTATGAATATAAAATTTGCTGTTTTGCATACAGACTGTATGGAATCACTGAAGTGAACACCATGTTTTAATTTGGTTTACATATCACAACAAAATGTTATACTTCAAAAAAATTAAAGGAAAACCTTTTTTCTGTGACATGGTCCCCTCAATGGTTTTAAACCTGTTGTGAGTGGTCATATGTATGTGATCTTAGGCTTTGAGTGAACGGTTCAGTGGAGAGATCCCCGATGAGCATCTGACCAGCAACTCCTTCTTCCCTGATGAGTACTTCACCTGCTCCTGCATCTGTCTCAGCTGCGGGTGAGCTTGCATATCAGTGTTCTGAGGTATACAGCAGTACTACTGTGGAGTTCAGTATGTTTAAGCTAAAGCCTGCTGAATATGTGGGTTTCAGCTCAGGCTGCAAGAACAGCATGAACCACCTGCGGGAGGGAGTGAGCCATGAAGCCAAGCAGCGCTGCCGCTATTCCCCTCACTATGACAACCGCATTTATACATGCAAGGTCTGTTGCACCTTTCAGCTCATAATACAGTATAAACTCTATGATTAGATGTTTAGTGTCCTTTGATGATGTCTGATGTGCTTTTTTGGCCTTGTAGGCATGTTATGAGAGCGGTAAAGAGGTAATTGTGGTTCCCAAAACAACAGCGTCCTCTGATTCACCCTGGTTTGGCCTGGCTATATACGCCTGGTCTGGGTACGTCCTGCTATTGGTTATGCATTGGAGCGTTTATCTTAGCTTATTGAGCTATGTCTGAATGGTGAAATTGTATTTCTTTCTGCAGTTATGTGATTGAATGTCCAAACTGCTCAGTGATTTACCGAAGCAGGCAGTACTGGTATGGGAATCAGGACCCTGTGGACACAGTGGTTCGTACTGAGATCCAGCATGTTTGGCCAGGGGTGAGTAATAAGTAATTATTTAATAAGAAGTATTTGTGTATGTAAAGTATTATGGTGCAAATATCAGCCACTGATATATCATTTGCCAGTAAATTATTATAATTTGCACACTGGAACTACAGACATTAATTACAACTGATAATATGAAGCCTTATTTTTAACATGTGTACACAATGATGCATTTGTAGTCAGTAGTAGAGATGCTCAAACCAAATCATTCAAACTATTCGAGCAAAATGATTCAGTTGCTCCAATTTGATTCAAAGTTTTAAAACGTTTTGTTTTTTTGCTTGTTTATTTATACAAACTAACATTTCATAAGCTAGTGGCATCAGGAATGTTTATATACTTACAAACTGAGAGCTTGGTTGAAGGCAAAATATGTTTAGTTTAACAATTCTGTTTTATTTCAGCCAAAGCAATTAACATTAACCATAAATAAGAGAACTAAAGTAAAAACAGAAATAAAAAAAATGAGAAAATATGGAATTTTATAATAGAAAATTAATGCATGCTTATAACAGTATGAATTAAATATTAGTTTCATAGTAATTACCATTACACTTTTAGTAGTTATTGAATAATAAGGCAGAGCAAAGTTCAGAAACCTGGAGATATATTATATACACCCCCTTTTACCCTGTTTTTTAATGGTCAGGTATTATTTATTTTTTAGTTGGTGGATCATTCTTTGGTTAGTTCACTATTCTCAGTCCAACAGTGACACTGAGGCACTATATCAGCACTGCTGTGTCTGATTTACTCATACCAGCGCAACACACACTAATATGCCACCACCACATCAGTGTCACTGCAGTGTTGAGACTGATCCACCACCCAAATAATAAATGTCCTGTGGGGGTCTAACAAAGTATACAGAGTAACAGATGGACTACAGTCTGTAATTATAGAACCACAAAATGCACCTATATGGTAAGTGGACCTGTTTAAAATGGACAGAGTGTAGATAAAAGGAAGGTGTACTTAATGAAGTGGCTAGTTGGTGTTTGCGTACATATAATGTTGTCTGCAGGGCGAGTTGTTGCAAATGCCCCTGATCTATCTAGGTCAAACCTATCACACGATAGCTACCAATGTGAGAGAGTGAGGGATAACTGTTTGTAACATGAGCCACTGTTCTGTCCTGCTCGTTTTCCTACTTTTGCTAAAACACTCGGCCGCTGTTTTTTTGTCCCCTTTTCTTTTTTAAGTCTGATGGGTTCTTGAAGGACAACAACAATGCTGCCCAAAGGCTGCTGGACGGAGTGAACTACATGGCTCAGTCGGTGTCAGAGCTGAGTGTGAAACCTGCCAAGGCCGTCACTTCCTGGCTCACAGACCAGATTGCCCCTGCTTACTGGAAACCCAACTCTCTCATATTTGTAAGTGTCATAGCTTTTTTCTCTTTCTATTTAAAAAAGTTGAAGTAGAGGATAAAACTACACAGGATGATGCTGTATGCTAGGGAATGACTAGGGTTATGGTTAGTGGTATGTGTAATAATAGGTTATGTGCAGTGCATGATTGTTTAAAGATAGGGCAAGGTGTTGGGTCAAGTCACGCATTCCATACATTCCATTCTTTGTGGTTACAACAACTAGACACTACCCTAAAGTGAGTCACAGAACATGGTATAAGGGTAGCATTATAGCGTACTCTATAGAATGTATGTCTTTTGGCAAATGTTTCAGAACTGCTACAAATGTGGCGAGGCCTTCAAGGATAATGATACAAAGCACCATTGCCGGGCCTGTGGAGAGGGCTTCTGTGATAGCTGCTCCTCCAAGTCCAGGCCTGTACCTGAGAGAGGCTGGGGGCTGGCACCTGTAAGGGTCTGCGATGCATGCTTTCAAAACAGGGGCATACCAGAGGGTAAGCTGTACTAAACATGCCTTGGGAAATGTTTAAAGAAATTAATGAATGTTTTTAGCTTTTGCGTTTACTAGATATTTAAGCAAACTGCCTATCAAGGTTTATAGACCTCACTGTGTGTTTGTAAAAGGTTATACTGTATCTGTGCTCTTCTTTATTAGAATTATGTTTCAGCTTGTGTTTTCCACCCAAGTATTTATGACCGCTGAATGTGGTGCAAGTTTTGGCTGCTTCTAGGAGTATGTTTGGTCTTTCAGAGCTGTTGGATGCTGCATTGGCAGAGGAGCAGAGTGGGACATTGATAGCCAGAAAAGTAGGAGAAGCAGTACAGAACACTTTAGGAGCTGTGGTCACTGCCATAGACATCCCTCTAGGTTTGTATTACACCTTATATGTCCAACCCACATTTTTTTTTCACCAGGTGCAGTATGGTAACAAATCCGTGATCATGCATTTAGTTCTCGTTTCCGCTGCCAAGTGAATTTGGTTTTCATTATTACTGGGGTACCGGGTGTGCTGAACCAAGACATATAGGTGGAGCTAAAAATAGTGCAGACCACTGACTGGTAAAATGCAATCATTACATAATTGTTATGTGGTGCCATTGGAGTCATATAACCACCATTATATAAAAAACAAAAACAAAACACTAGCTGCCCTGAATTGCTGTCTATGACTCTCACATAAAAATAAATTGTTGCTGTCAGAAGAAAACCTTGTATCTCCATTTTTGTCGTTTTTCAGTTTTTGGCAATATTGGGAAATGCCTGTAGCTCTTTACATTGTGTGTATACTTCATGAAGAATGGACCAAAAGAAATGGCCCAAAATGAGTTGGAAAAAAGTCTGGTTCTATTGGCTTACATTAAAAGTAAAGTAGATTTTTTCCTTCTCCTGTCAAATTATTTTGGAGATACGAGGTTTTCTTCTGACAACAGCAAAATGCAGAGTAAAATGTAAATAAGAACATGAAGCTCCTCCATTGTTGCTACTGTTTGTGTTTACTGTTAATGTTAAGATTTGCATGAGAAATCATGTGACCATTCAAGCTAAAGAGAATTTTGCCTTCTTTTGCAATGGAAAACATATACGGGTGCTTTAACTTTATTTAATTTCCTCTAGTCATAGTAAGCATGACTCATAAGATCATTTGTAAGACAAAATGATTACAGGTATTTGCTATATTGCTAACTATATTATATTCATGTTCTAACTTGTGTGTTAGGGTTAGGATGTGTTAGTTGGACAAACAATAGGTATACTTTGGAACAATGTCAAAGTTAAAATGATGAAAAATTGTAAATGTCAAATTAAATTAAAACTAGGTCTCATGATTTTATTTTCCATATCAGCTGTTTTTCAGTTTTATGAAGGTTTCCCAAGTGACTTCAAAGCATTCTATTAAAAGTCACCTGTTCTATTAAGTCACCATGTTTACTCCCTCCACCTCCAGGTTTGGTTAAAGACGCTGCTCGCCCGGCCTACTGGGTACCAGACCAGGACATTCGCTGCTGCAACCAGTGCCAACGTGAGTTCAGCGCCCGCCTCTCCATTCATCACTGCCGGGCTTGTGGACAGGGTGTATGTGATATCTGCTCCCCTGACCGTCGTGCTGTACCTTCACGGGGCTGGGACCATCCTGTGCGGGTGTGCATTGCATGTAACCAGAAACCTGGAGACCTTTAGCAGGATTGGAAATTACAACATTCACTCTGACACCCACCCTCGCACACAAGTTGCATTGGTTCAGCCCATGCTGGGAGCGAAGCACCATGCTATAAAGCTTTCTGTCCTGTAAACCGAGAGGAGCAGCACTGCCTTTTCATCCCAACATTTGGTTCTTTCACACGCTCGTCTGCACTGCTCTAGCTTTCAATGGACTCCAGCGCCACTGAAGTCCAGCTCAGAACAAAAGAGAAGCTAAGACTCATCTTTAATTTGCAGCTAAAATTGATTGAGGAAAACTTGAAATTATTTTTGACAATCCATTGCTTATCATGCTCTATTACCCATGTTCACTGTGCAGCCATCATGCCAATTTGATGATCTTTAAATCATATCTGGCTGGAATATGTTTTTGGGTCATATCCACCAAATGCATATTTGGTGGTTATGACCTGAAGACCAGCAGATCTGCATCCCATTACAATTATGGTCTGCATGAATCCAGGGAAGGCCTGTACTGTAAGCAAAGGCAGCTGAATGGCCATTACATAAAACTTACAGAGCAGGCTAGTTTACCATTCTTGAGCTTAAGACATTTTCAGGTGTTATTTAGCTTTTGAGTTCTTACCCCAAGGAGTGACTGTTTTTATCCACTTATCTTGAAGCATACCCTTAATGTAGTGCTCTAGGGCCATTTCATTTTAACCCAGTGTAATGCCTCCTATTGAGGAGCCAATCTCCTTGATCTTAGGATGATCTCCATAACCCAATTCGTATTTTATAATGGAATTATAACACTAAGCCATAGAGGAACTGCACAAACGTGTAAGATGTGGCATTGCGTAGGTGGATTATACACTGATGCCAATCCACTTGATTACACTTTCATAGTCATCTACTGCAATGTTAATATTCATATTTCAATCACTGGTACAGTAGCTGTTGTCATCTAGCCCCTGGTATGGGTTGATAGATTCATATAAAGGGTTCTCTGCCAAAAAAAAAAGCTTGTCTAATTGAGTTTGTTTTATTTGAAGTGTATTATTAGGGTGACTGAACGTGACTGAAACAGACTTAAGTAACACGAATATCAGTAACTGTCATGTTTTATGCACCTATGCTGATTAAATTAAACTTGAGTACCTCTCTAATGTAATGTAGTGGTGAATCTTTCAAGTTGCATGTTCTTATTTGAACTCGTGTTGTACATTTTAGTGATTTTACTCCACAATACACTGGATTCATCAGAGGTCCTTCATGATTGTTTAAAATGTGCGTCAAATTAGAAAGCACTTAAATTTTAAGTTAGAAAAACACTATTTAATATTAATACACTAATACATGATGTGTACAGTTAGTCCAGGGAGTATTTCACAAAGCAAGATTTTTAGGTTTAGCCAGATAACTTAAGCCCAAAATCAAGCCTTTCGAACAGGATAAAAGCTGAGGGACATGCCTATTACACAGTCCTCAATTTTGGGTTTAAATTATCTGGCTAGATGAGAATTCCTGCTTTCTGAAATATCCCAAGGATTTGGAGAAATATTGGTGTATGGTATTATTATAGCACATCCGAGCACATCTGTACATCCAGCAGGTGGTGCTGTAACTCTATTTTAAATGCCATACAGAATGTTTTTTTTTTTAACCTGCTGAAACATGATATTCAAGCCTCCTTGCAGACCAACTAATTAAGCAAATTTCTGCTGCAAACTTTTCTGCTGAAAAGTTGCCATCTACTTCTTAAATAGTGTGCAAGGTTTTACTGCTGTGAGACTTTGCCACTGTATTTCTTATACAGTCTTACAATAATTTGTTATGAAATCTCTGGCTCTCTCTCACAGAAGTTTATTGGTATCATGGATTTCATGGACACTGGTTTGTGAATTACACTGAAATAGATGTTTTTTGTTTTACAAAAGCTATACAAAGAGAGTTAAATGAAAAGTTCATCTCTAAAGCATAGTCCTCACATCCTGCAGTCTAAAATTGCACTTATGGAGGTCAAAATTCCAGTAGCTTCCATGTGTGCAGTATTAATATAAAAAAAATCTAGTGATCCATTTTGTTCTTCCATTAAAGACCATATGCCCCAAACAAGTACACTTCAATCTAAACAGAAAAGAACACAGCTGTTAGGACTCTTAACTGGTCTCTATATCATTGCCCATCATGTTAATTTATCATGTTCATGTATGCTCTGAATGTATTTAAATGCAACTACAGCAGAGACAAAGATTCAATTAGACATAATCTTTTTGTTGTTTTATACAACAGTCTACAATCTACCTTTTGCTGTAAGTCACTGAAGCACTACAAAGTGTGTGGTCACCACCTAACCTTGTCCTTTTGGTGCTGTCCAATCTTGGTAGTCACTGTTATATGGGTAGTAATAAAGATCACGTTGGACAGCCATTAGAAGGCCAGGCAGTCCTCTGCGGCCTCCCAGCTGAGAGGAGAAAACCACATTGGGGATGGAGTCTTTCCCTGCAGGGTGTGGAGAGGGGATGGTCCTGATGAGATGTCCATCTCTAAGGCTCCACAGACGGGTATAGCAATCCTGGCCCACTGCAAACACAAGAGGACATTCAAGTTATAAAATAAATTCTAATATGAGTAGTCAGTAAAAGCATAAAATTACATTGTCACACATTAATTGCTAAAATAAAAATGAACTTACAATACACACCTGGGCAAACAAATGGGCCAAGAGCAAAATGGCACATTAAGCTTTTAATGGTCTTAGCAACACATCATTAAACAAACAAAGTAATATGATAGCTTTTCCCTTCGATTTCTTAAAATGTTGATGTTTTGTGTGTAAATTTGCAATGTTTTACAGAAAGAAGAGTCAGTATTACAACAAAACTAAACTTGGGTTTCGAGGAAAATAACTTACCTAACAAACAAAAAAAACAGAGACACAACTATTAGCCTAACTAAAGCAAACCAAGACAAAACAAAAGCATACAAAAAGAACCCTTTCTCTTCAATCAGAGAGGTTATATACTACTGCTACTGTGTGAATACTTACTAGTTCCTCACCAGTCACATTTATGTACTTAGCATATTTTTACATAATTCTTAATCGTAACAAAATAAGCAAATCAAACAAAATTGTAAAGTTTGAGATTTAATGACATTCTTTTTCTAAAGAACCATAATCAAATCAAAATGAGCTCAAAGTAAGATCACCTCTTGTAATCAGGAATGTTGGGAAACTTTTATGAAGACATGCATCAAATGACTGTATATTATTAAAAACAGCAATTCAGGTTTTCCTAAAAAGTAGAATACAGAAAAACAAAAAAGGATGGGAAAAATCCCTTCACCTGCTAGCAGCAGTCCTTCTTGCTCACTCAGGTGAAGGGGCAAATAGGCATACTCATTGTGATGACCTTCATACTGCTTTACTGATCGCTTAACACGAACGTCCCACAGCTTAATCTGATGAGATAAAACCAGAAAGCACACAGATGTTACCATGAATTAATATTATTTGGTTCACTAGCTATGTGTCCAGCATCAGTGGCAAAAGGAGCTTCTTAGGGACTGACCTTTCCCAGCATGTCAGCAGCAAGGAGGTAGTTTTCATCCTGAAGGAGTCGGACAGAGGTGACAGCGGAGTCCTGATAGAAGCGGCAGGTTTTCCAGCTGTGGTCCCGTCCCCGGCCTCGCTGCCTCAGGTCAATGCTGAAGATTTCCCCTGAACGGCAGCCGTTAAACAGCACTGGAGCCTTACACAAACAGCACAATGATTATTAATGATTATTAATATAGTACTACTTACATGCAAACCCATGCTTTGAATGCTTAAGGAGAAGGCCCAAGTTTAGGCTTAGACAATATGGAACCAGCAAAATGCTGAATGCTGCACTGTGGTGTTCAGAGAAATTGAGCAGTACTGGAAAGGGATGCATTGTTACCAATACTGGTAATGGGTATCGGGCTGATACCATGTTCATTTACTCATACTCCTACTCACAAAACACACCAAGCTGATACCATGTGATGTAAGTCTAACGTACACTGCCGCACCAATAAACAAATAACTCTAGTTGGCAGTGAACGAGAGTGCTGTCACACAGAGAAATGTTACTGACAGCGGGGAGGTCATTAAGTCACTGGTCGCTTCAAACATTCCTCCAGGTATACATTGTGTGATTTTAGTCCATTTTAAACACTCACGATCACAACCACTTCCCTAATAAGGGAGGAGACATGTAGGCTAACAAAATGGAGGCAAAAAAAGTCAACATTTGCTACCAAAGTCTATATATGCCAACATTACTCTGACAACAGAATTGTGAAATGCAAACGTTAATACAGTGATTTTTTTTTTATTCTCTTTGTAAAATAGGCTGTGGAGAAACTGTACTGAGCTACCATGTATACAGCAGAGCTGCTGTAGCTCAGTTTCTCAGCATGTCTGCTCAGTACTTAGCGTGTTACTTTGAATGAAACAGAGGCGTTTCACGTACCATGATAATTCATTATGGTACTAGGCTCTGCATCAGCAAGTATTAAAAATATGTACTTGGTTTGAAAAACTATGTCAAAGCATCCCGACTGCTGGAAGTCACTTAGCGCTAACACACATGGATACAGAATGTTGGCGTCAGTTTGCGTCAGTTTGCGCCTTCATAAAAAAAAACAATGGTTTTGGATGCTGCATAGTGCAACATGGCAGCCTTGAGGCTGGTCCTACTCACTCTCAGTGCAAACTGTTGGGTCAAAACATCACTGCCAGTGCTGTACGTCTGTCTTCGTCCAGTCACTGCATCAGTCACAATGACATGTCGCGAAAGACCTGGATATGCAGGATTAGATTTCTGCTCAGCACATCAACACAAAAGTGAAAGCACACAATTACCAACAAACAAAGAAAAACTCACCTGTGCTGAAGGTTTTATCAGCCTGTGGATTCAAGCACCAGGCACAAGACCAGGCTGTAGAGATCTTAAAACTGCAAAGCATACCAGGCTGGTCTAATTACAGAAGAGAGGATGCGGCTGTAGTTAAATCTGATATATGAACAAATGACTTGCTTTATTTTATATAGTAGTTCAAAGAGTATTACAGTGTAGTAAAGTGTGGAGCGTAGTGGAAGCAACTGAGTTGTCTCACCAGGATTGGAGTTACTGAACAGAGAAGCAGGCAGTAAACTGACACAGCCTGGAGTCTGAGATATACCCACCAAACACAAGCTGAAGGGGGCTCATCAGGAAAATAAAGATTCCTTTCATGGGTTATGTTCTCTACTAATACAACACAAAGCAGAGAAATGAATGAGAATTATCATTCAGAAGGATACAGAACATGGGAGTCTGAATGAGTCACAGATGCCCAGCACACAGAGGTCATCTGAAACAAATGAAAATAAATACTGTAATTAAATGATTTCATAATCTCATGAAAAACAGCTGCTTTTTCAGTTGGGTGTCTAATACATATTCTGTTTATAGTGCATCCAGATCACTTTGGTCAGCTGAAGTAGACCTACACCAAATCCCTAGGATTACAAATCATTTGGTTGATGACTTAAGGGTTCAAAATTCAGAATTCAGTTCAGTAGAGTAGTGTTTCTATTCACTACAGGATTGTCTGAAAATCTGCCTTAATGTGTTAAAGAGTCCATCTTCAGTCTATTATAGCATTCAGCATTACAAAAGTACATGCGCAACAATGCGCGAGTCCTAAGCCAATTTGGTAGCGCCGTTATTTCAGTTTAACTGTTATGTTTTATCTGTTGTTGTTATTATTATCATTAAATCCATGATCTTACCTTGCGGTTAGTGAAGTACAGATTATCACACATCTCTACAGACAGAGAGCCCTTCCTGCAGCCGCGGAAGTTCATGATGCCGTACTTGCAGCCTCCATGTGACACATCATTCACTGTGAACACCTGCTCACAAGCTGAATCAGCCTAGGGAGAAATATTAGGCAGAGGAGGTAGCAAAGGCTTGTTTTGACTGTACTTACAAAACCAGTTGACTTATAATAGAAGCCATTAGGCAACTGCTAAACTCTATGAATAAATGTTTGCACATTGAGACTATATCATGTAAATTCAAACTTTAAACACACTAACAATATAGATCTTGGGACAAGAGAATTTTAAATACAAAAAAAGCCCACATACATAAAGCTCTTTCAGATTATTCATTTATTCTTAAAATAAAAGCCATTATTATTATTATTATTATTATTATTATTTTTATTACGACTACTTATACTACATAATAAAGCAGAAATTATCTATGTAAGAATCCATAAACTTGTGCTTTCCATTTGCAACAAACTCTTTTGTAGTCTTTTTTTAATAATAACTCGATTTTTACTATTTAACTTGACGCACAACCGGAATAGACCGTTTTTCTGCAGCAAGGGGAGGTCTGGATCTAAAAGTGAATGAAGGTAAAGAGATATAGATTATCTCCTGTAATCACATTTACATCTTTTTAATATAGAATATTTGGCTTAATCATATATTTCTAGGAATACAGTTAGGAACACAGGAATACATAGGAATACAGTTCTTTTGCTTTTGTGTCTCTGTGAGACTTGTGGTATGTTCTTCAAGAAGGACTCTGTGACATTTGAAAGGACTTGTTTAAGCCCATCTCCAACCTATCCTACCAGACATGGCAGCAGCCTGTGGTACCGTAATTGAAACTAAGTATCTCCTTCATTGTATAACTGGGTGAAAGGTGACCGTTCTGGAACCGTCAAGGCCTTCGGCCTGACTGAGAGCGACTCTTGCTGATGTCATTAAGATGCGCAAAGGACACTATCTTTGTTGACTGAATCTCACCAAAAATGTTTCTGAGCCCATCCAAGTCTGCATTATAATAATAGTTTTGCTCTGTACTTATGAATCAGCAATTATATATGTAGCCTGTCTTATTTACATATAATTTGCATTAGGGTTTAACTGCCTTGTCCAAGCCTGTGTTAGATGAGGAAGACACTTGCAGGTGCACCCACCCCCACCTCTCTGTCTGTCTCTGTGTTACGTTTACTTTTTATGCTCCTGTAATTCTGAAATTTTTATAGATCTTTTTTATACATTTCTAAATTTTTAACTTAGTCATGCTGTGGTAAATTACTCAACAAAGGTAATATTAAGTGTGGACGGAATGGCTGAACGTCAGCTTGCCCAACCAGGCAAGTGAATTGTAACACTGCTGTCCCAAGTCAGTTTTTTACTTGCCCTGGAAAATTCATTCAAGTTCTTCTAAAAGACAGAGCTTCAATTAATTCTGTCTTTCAAAAGCAAAAAGCATTCTGTCCGAGTGAAAGCAGCAACTGCTAGATGCCTTATACTATGTTTCCTTTTTATGTACTGGGAAAAAGTATGAAACGATAGTCTTTGGTAATAGAACATTATAGTGCAAGAGAATTAGGTTGAAAAATGCTGAATGATTCCTTTAGGAAAGGGATGACACAGAGAACACAGACATAACTTCTACATTCATCTGTCGTAAGAGAGGACAGTTCTGGCTGAGCTGCAACATAAACACATTTTCAGTGAGGTCTGTTAGGCTTTAGTTTGTCCACTGAGGCAGAGACAGCAGCTCACCACAATGAGGCGGAAGTTGTCTGTGTTCGGGCTGTTGGAGTCAGAGCTCTGCACCTCCAGTTTGTGGCGTTTCATCTCACTGACCTTCACCTCATGGACCAACCTGATAAAAAGAACAGTCCATGCTCAGTCCTTCAATACACCACATCCTGGCCGTCATATCAGCATCTCATAACTCCATTTTTGTTTCAGATTAATTTTTTTACACCATTTGAAAATGCCAGATGCCCTTTACAGTTTGAAAAAATTAACTCTAGGTATGTTTTTATCTTAGTTATTCAGAGTCATGACATTTTGTTACAACAGCATCCATATCCTAATAATCGCTGATTTACCTTTTTCAGTTAATATGGAGGGAAAAACTATGCATGGTGTATACAAGCTTCCTCTGATACTTTACCTACAATAGGAGCTTGAGGGCAACGTGCCCAGATGTCTCCTCTGCAACAGCAATGCAGAGTTAAGTCCAGGCCGTGGAGCTTTCTGTGTTTTAGGGTTACAAGGTTCAATTAGTGAAGAACCATATAATCTACACATAACTAATGGTACTTTCCATTACTCTTGTTTCTATTGAAAGTTTGGAACACTATGCATGAACACTAGTAAACACTCTAGTGCTTAAATGCACCTCAGTAACTAAAACCTGACCTTGTTCGGGTGCTCATCCTCCACAAGCAGCTTTGCCCTCTTTTTCTCTTGCTCGTTCGTCTCCAGCATTTCTCTTGTTAACGGATTGCAGTTGTTGTGTCCAGGCAAAAGCCGGAAGTAGCGGTTCTTCTCTGGATCGAAGTAGAAGCCTGGCAATTCTGTGAAAGATATAGTTCAGCACAACAATCTGAGGACTGAAATATTTTGAAGGAATGTACCATCATTTTTCAAGGTAATTTCTATCTGTCACATATGTAACATACAGCCACATACAAAAGTTTATGCACCCCTGGCCAAATCATATGTTTTTGTTGATCTAAGAGAAAATACATTACAATATTCTTGACAGAGAACACATTTCTACAAATTTAATGGACAATTACTGATTATTTGTCACATTTAACATATTGAGAAAAAGAAAACACATAAAATGAAGCCTGTGCAAAAGTTATGGCACATTTTATATTTTGTTTTATTTCTCCCCAATATGTTAAACTCAGCAAACAAATAGAAATTGTGCACTACAATTTGCAGAAAAATACTTTACATACTATTTACATTTGTTCCCCTGTAGAGGATTTGTTAACTTATTTTCACTAAGACATTCAACAAACCATGGAATTTGATTGGGTTTTCGAACTTTTGCATACGACTATATGATTGAATATTTAGAATGTATTTAGAAGATAACAGGGGTCTTTCTCACAACGCATGTTTAACAAAGTGAGAGTTCTTGACTAAGTTTCAGCAAAACTTAACAAATGCAATAGTGGTTAATTTATTTCATGATGTCAGTTGACTTTTTTTGTTTTCCCACGTTAAGATGTTCAATCCCTGTGCACGTACACATGAAAGCATGATGTTTATCATATATAGCTAACTGTATGAAACACAGGGAGGAGACCAGGAGCTGTTTTTCATGAACATAAAATTCTATCAAGTAAATATGCAGAAGGTAAAGCAATCGTATGCAACCACCCTTTGGCTTCTGTTGTGAGTGTGTTTCAAACCAAGTTTTTCCTTTACAAAGTACACGGAAATGTGTAGAAAAGATTGTCCATTGTAAGGAACGACAGATGAAGCAGATGGATATTAGATTGAAAAATATTGTGAGTGTTCCACTGGTGGTTCCCAGTGATGAGAGCTAACCTGGAGCAGCTGTAGTGGCTCTTGATGAGGAAGCTGTGTCTTGGTCTGAGCTGCTTTCTGCTGCTCTGGAAGAGGGCCCTGCTGTTGCATGGTCCCAGCTGCTCAACAACAAAATTTCCATTTTTGAAAATAACTCCATATAGCAACAAAAAGGGTTCTGGTATTGTTAAGATGTCAAGCCGGAACATATAGAAGAACCTCTTCAGGTACTAAATATAAACATTTTCAAGAAGATTCTATGGAGAACAATATACAACATTTTCCATCAATCTGAAGAAACATTTTACCATGCAAAGAGCAATTTAAGCATGAAATGGTTCTATACAGCACGCAAGTTTCTAAACAGAGACCCTGCCTTTACTAAAGAACCCATAAAGAACCATCCTTTTTAAGTGTGTAGTGTAGAGATTTCCCAGAACAGCAGAGGTTGTTACTGTAGTAAAGAAGAGACAAACTCCCTATTAATAACCTTGATTTCAGAAGAAACGCTGGGTGAGCAGATGTCCACAAACTTTTGGACATGTAATGTTGTACAGTCATGAATTAAACAGGTTAACACTTCCTTGGGACAACAAGGACTGCTAATTCAGTCTGGTTGTAGTCGGTTTGTGATTTACCCATACTCGGGACTTCTGTCAGTGGAATGATCTCTCCTTCTCCAGTCTGCCCGATGATGATGAAAGAAGCGTTTGCCCCTCCCTCGCCAATTTCTCTTCATTTCTCTTGTTGTTGAGGCACTGAAGTAAAAAAACAGTTACAGCCACCCACTTCAAGCCAACGGTGCATGAGGGAGAGTAGCTAAGGCACGTCTGAGCGTTAGCTTAGCTAGCTAGCTAGCTAAAGGTTACAACGCGAACGTACACGTGGCAAACCACGTTATCTGGACATGCTTTTGCTCTTGGTTCGACAAATTTCATATACCTGAACTCTCCCTTCGACTCTTTAACTCTCTATTTATTCTATTTGACTCAGAACGCCTTCTTCTTCCGCACTAACACAGGAATCATCCTGTCTCGATTGACAACGTTGTTTCCTCGTGTGGCTTGGCGAAAGTCCCGCCCCCTACGCGCTCCATTGGTGCGTTTAGCAGAAATATGTATCACTCCGGCACGGGATTGGACATTTCTGATGGCAATCATAGTGAAAGACGGTACGAGCGGGACAACAACACGCACAGTGTTTATGTTATAGATTCGTGTGGCAGAGAGGAAAGACAAGTTATTTTGGAATAAATCGACGAAAGCTTTGTAGACAGGAGGGGCGGTTCACATTTAGCACGCAAAAAATAGGAGACATTAAACATACCCACAGGTTTTGGCTTTATCTTAGCACTACTACAATTCTGTGAAATGTTGAGGCGATTTTCATGTGAACAAAATACGTCTGTTTATCTCTGTTCAATGAGATGGGTACTAAATGGATAAAATAACAGCAGCAAAATAACTAAAATAAAACAAAGTGAAATACAATAAATGAATAAACATAAATAAATAAACAAATAAATAATAAAAAGAAATACATTTGAAAATCAAATCATTATGATAACCAGACATTAAGACAGTAAAATATATTGCACAGTTCCATATATTTGAGGAAAGTATTGGTCTTCTTCTCATTTGTCATTGTAAGGGAATATGTATAGATTTCTATATGTTTTGTGTTATGGATTTGACAGCTATTTTAAGCCACGCCCATGTTTAAATCCTGGTGTTGTATTGGACAAACTGCTGGACACTGAGGTCCGTATTGGTTGTTTTTTTTTCATAAGGGTCCCAAAGAAGTCTGAGATTTTGAATATTGGGTTACAGTGTGGCAAAATGGCGACTGTCATTCAGAATCCACTAAAAGCGTAAGTAATAAAAGGAAAATGAATGCTATAAATTCGGAAATGTGTGTGTGTTGGGTGGTGGAGGGTCACAAAGCAGCTCTCGGAGGAGCGGTTGAATGCGGAGACTGTGCGTGTTCGGTTTGGGATTCTGCAGCCTGCATGCATATATATGTGTACTTGTGCTGTGTTAGTTCAGTCTTTGTGTTTGTGGAGTTGCTTGCAGGGTCCATAGCTCTGTGCTGGGTGATGATATTCGGGTCTGTTAGACATGTTTGCCCTCGGTCCGCGCTCTAACTTACGAGGCTGAAGTCAGTTTCTTATTTGCCAGCTTCTTGTTCGAATTTTCCCGTTCCACCTTAAATGGTGCGGCAGTTCCATTCTGCCGCCTGAGGTGCGAGAATGGAACTGCTGCACCATTTAAGGTGGAACGGAAAAATTCGAACAAGAAGTTCAGCTTACCTGGATACTGATTCTGCAGGTTGTGTATGCTACGTGCAGTAGTTCTGTATTTGTGCTATTCGTGATTTAACAGTGGTCCTGTTCAGTGCCGTGTGAATAAGCAGAGATGGGAAGTGTGCTCAGGTTTGATAGGATCCTGCTCCGCTCATGCTTTTGTTAAGCGCTTCGTTTTTCGCCTCAGCGCCAAGATGAACACGTTTAAAACACGGCTAGAAACTTCCAGACGGCTATGTTGTCCTGGTTGAAGCTCCACAGTATTATTGGAAAGAAAATAACTGTATTAGTAGAATTTTGTGCATTTGAGGAATGCAAAAATATCCAGTAGAATCTAGTAAGACCCCAGAAAGTTCCACATAGCATAATAGATAGCACGTTCTTAAAGGGAAATCCACTGAATTGTCAAAATTTCTGCATAATACAGTGGTTGAGATATAAACAGTCATTCAGAGTGATTTGATGTGAAATGGTTTACTTGTAGAGAAACTTACTGACTCAGATTTCTTTACAGCGGTGGTGATAGGAACCAGGGGTCCCGAAGTCCACAGTATAGAGCCAGTCTATTTACTATCCAAAAACCACCAGTGAACCTACACTAGTCTTCTGAGTTTATATATGTACTGTAGATGATGGTAAAATAATGGTTGATCTGAAAAAATAAGTTTTCTTTAGGGACAATTTTGCCTTATAATACCCTTCTTGTATCCTTCCACCATGAACTGATTAAAATACATTTTAGACCAAAAATTAAGCTTCCATAAAACAATATGTCAGACATTAGTAAGCATACTAAGTATTCAGTGTAACTCTATGACTTTCTGTGAGGGAGCTTTTAGAAGCTTTAAACTCTTCAGACGTCCGGTTCCTATCACCACCACTGTGAACAACCCAGACTTGGTTTCTCTAGAATTAAGCATTTCAGCCAAACCGCTCGGCATTATTTTGTTGATGCCTTAACCATTTAATTATGCAGTAATTTGGAAAAATTGGTGGAGTTCCCCTTAAGCGTGTTTCCACACTGAACACCTCACTTTGCTGAATGAATGCAAACAGTGCAAGGCTGTAAACAAGACTGTTGGAGAGGTAATGTAGTTAATCACTGAACTACATACTATTTAATTAAAATGAATTCAAATGTACCTGTGGGTTAAATTATGTCAAATAAAGTATGCTAAATAATGGCTAAATAATATAAATGAAATGTAAAGTGAATTATTGCAGATGGAGTTGTTTGTTAATGTTTGTGTGATGTCTGCACAATAAAATAAAATATGTGATTATATTAGGATGTATACTGACAATGTTTACATTAAAACACGTTGGTGAAAATGTATTGGAACACTGTTAAAGATTTTGATCAAAATTATTTAGTCTCTGATTAATCAAAATACACACAGATCACTAATCACAGCACACAGTGAAGTTTTTAAAATTTGACTAAATGATTACTTTCATATCCTGCTTTTCTGCAAAAACTCTACAAAAAAATCTAACACTGAACTGTGACCAATATTGCAGTAAAGATGAACCAACAATATATCACACGGCCCTTTATTGCGGTGCTTGCTTGAAATAAGAGTTTAATATAGTGTGTACATATTGCTCAAGTTTCAAAACATACCGTTCACTACTCAGTCCATACAGTACATCGATTAAAACTAAACTATAAAAGCAGCTGAATTTGAAAACACTGTTTTAGTGATGTCACAAAAACCAATTACATATATCCACCTATTCAGATTAAAACTGCTTAGCTCCACCCATTTCCGTTGAAGTTGTAAGGAGAGTTTCAGCCCAGACTGCTCTTTTAATGAGGCACAATTTAGGACAGCCAATCAGAAGAGAGTTAATTTACATATATTGTTTTTTTAAGGTACATTAAAAAAACAGCCCATTTAAAAGTTTAGAATCAGTCGCCATTTAATAATAATATACACAATGTTGACTGAAACACTGTAAGATAGACACCGAAACATTTATTCACAATTTAATGTACTTTGGGAACAACAAGAAGTTATGACCTAACAATAGCAAATATTATTAAATAAAAAACTGTGACGACGTATTTTAAGTAATTCATTTTCATTAAATTACTATGAACAGCTATTTGATCAGCAAGATTTGGTCACAGCTTTTCAAATATGAGGCTTTTTGGGTATTAATTTTATTATAAGTCTATTTTCTATGTAGTAGAGCTTTCTCAGTTATTATGGAATCATCTACAGCTCCATTCATCCAAAATGTCTTAACTTTAACAGCTTCTACAACCTGTTTGAAATTTATAAAAGAGTAGTTAAAATTAGTATTAGTAAAATTGGTTTTATATTGTTGAAAACAGTGACTCCAAACATTTGAATGGTCATGTAAGTTACCTAAAACCACAAAGGTGTGCTGATGTACTGTATTCAATTATGTAAAATCAACAGATTACCATTTTCAGTGTACTACTGAAAGGAATCATATCACATCGTATCAGAATAATATCTGAAGTAGACTGCTGCCAAATATCAAAACATTGCCTTAAACACACTATTACTCATGTCGTTGCAGACAAAGACATGACATAAATATGCATGGCAGTGCCATGACCTTCAGTGTAATAGATCACTTACAATTAGACATGTGCATTTATCAGCCAGCATTTTCATTCTGCTCATCCATAGTGTGAACCAGAAAGGTCACAACTGATGCATCAGACATGGCATATGTGGATTTGTGATTGAGAGTGTGTGGACGGTGTATTGGGGGGGTCGGTGCTGTCTGCGAGCGGCAGGGTGGTGCAGATTATACACACACACCCAGGACCCTTCAGGGCCCATCTGTTCTGAGGAGCCGCCTGAGAGAGGTGTCACACCGCAAGAGAGAGGGAGACCCATCTGCTCAAAGAACTGGGACACACACACTCCGTACACATTAACACCCTATACACACATGCAGTACTGTGGAAAAGTCAAAGACCCTTCATGTGTTTCATTTCCAGTCAAAACAACAATTAAGTAAGTAATTTATTTTTTTCAGAAGATACTCCTGATGAGATTAGATATAAAATAATCTACTTTCATAAGGAAGCAGAAAGTAAAAAGTAAAATAAGTGGAAAAACAGAACTGGATTATCAAAAGATACAGAGAAAATGGGACTCCTAACAACCATGCAAGACCTGGTAGACCACCAAAACTGTCCCCATCGGTACTTAAAGCTTTCATCTGTGAGAGAGAGAGCAGAAAATCAAGCACCACTCTTGCTTCAGATCTGAAAACATCCACAGGTGTTTCTGTCCATCCTTCCACTGTGATAAGACAACTCAACACTATAAAGCATGTGTAGCTGTCAAGATGCCCTTACTGAGAAAAGGAAAAAGACAAAAAAGAAGAAAATTTGAAAATCAAACAAAGAAGCTGTTCAGAACAATTGAATGAGTGCAGACCTACAGAAAAATGCAACCAACTTCTGTGACTGAAATTTGGAAGTGTGCAAAAATATCCCTGCAGATTTCTTTGAAAGAAAGATGGGGGCACACACGTGTCATCACATGCTTTGCCATCTGTCCTTGTTCCTGTTGTTCTCACTGCTCTGTGTTCAGTGCCACCATGTCCACTTATTACATTATAGAGGAACCCGTTCACGTGGGGGCAAAAAAGGTGTAATTGTCCCAGAACTGCTGACTTTGTTTTTCTTGTTTTTTGTAAATCTCATCGTTGCATTAGCATCTCAGTGTGGCAGTTTTCAGCCCCTGAGCTCTCTGCTTTGACTTAAGACTAATAATAGATAATATGACATTAAAATATGTCCAAAACTATCCAGACACCCATTCTAATTAGTGAATTCACATATATGCACTCATTGCTGACACAGGCTGCATTCACTCAGTCTGTATAGTCTTCATAGAAAAGCATTGGGATATTTCAAAGTTATCTTCCCAGAAATGCAGAGGCTGTTACTGCAGCAAAGGGAGGGGACAAACTCCATATTAACAGTGCCAATTCTATCTAATGAGCAACATAAGCTGCTGCTTATTGCCTTGCTGCCACCCTAACAACTTTTGGGTTGACAAAAAAAGGAACTGGTTAAAGATGAGAAATAGAAAAGAAAAAGAGGATGAGGAGAAAAACGTAAAGGCGTGTTTTGTTTTGTGGTGTTGTTAATGTTATTCCATTTGTTTTGGCTTGTAGTTGGACAACAAAAAGTAGTGGATCTGGGGTCTTTTTAACAGAGCAGGTTTAGCTTAGACTTTCTGACTGAGTTTCAGCTTTACAAAACCTAACAATCGCGTTTAACAGTAACAGTTAACAACTTTCTCTCTTAATCCAGGTTTAGATACTCAGGTGTGATTAATCCAGGTTGAGGTGCCCTGGCTGTGATTAATGTGCTTGCATCATCAACAATACACAATCATTTAGGCATCGTATGTCAGTCATGGTTGTCAGTTAGCCTCTAATAAAAAAAAAACCTGCATAGGCCCCCAAATGACTAGAACCAGCCCTGCCTATTATTAGTGCTGGAAGAGCAGGTGTCTGCAAAACTTTTGAATTATTCAGTAACTAGTATGAAACTAATATATAAACTA